TGCTGAACCATGTGAAAGAGTATTGGGGCTGGTCAGTAGTTCCAGATGAACTCTTTTCCTGTAGTACTGATCACTGTTCTTGAGTTGACCACTTGAGTGTTTCCACAGAGTTTTCATATTTTTAGTTCTGTGGGATTATTTCATTTCAATTTTACCTCCCCCTCACCAGGCATTGTAATTAGCAACAAGTGGGAGATTAGGTGACTTTTTGCAACCTGCTCGGAATCCAGTTGAACCTGCTACTCATTTTTTCCATCTCCACCTTGTCTTATACAGAATAACGTGTAACTAATATGGTGGGTTTATTATATTCGAAAAGATAATGATGTATAGAAGGCTGCTTAATTAATGGCAATATTGGTTCATTCACACACAGTACTTCATAAGCAGATTGTTGTTGCTGTATATCTGGTTTTGGATCCTCTGTGGAATGAACGTATTCTTTTGAACTCTTGTAGACAAGAGAATAGAATCATTATCCCTTATATCTACTGAGAGTTTTTGTTTACACATTTCTTTCTGTTGGGGGTTCAGTGTTTTTGGGCAGCTTCTGTACTTTAGTTCCATATCTTTTGTAATTCAAAGAGGGGGAAAGGTTTTTAAAATTCACACTGAGCATATTGAAACTCTTAGGTGTAGTTCTTGGGATGTGAACCATATTCTTTGGTATCTGAATATAATAATCCTCTTAGCATATTGGTCGTTTTCAGATCTCCCATTGGCTGTGCAATGCGCTCCCATCAGCCATTGGCCCATCAGCTGCCACTCAAGAGTACTCGCGTGCCATTGGTTAGGTGCTGGATCTGCTCCTCTTCCCCGCCCACTTCCACTTCAGCCACTGTTCCCTGTCAGAATAACTGGCAAACGGCTCTCTCTCCTGACAAAGACACTTCTCCTGCTTGGCTCCTCTGTGGGACTAACTTTTCCCTCAGTTGCTGTTGGTACGCAACCAAGCTTGGTTCTTTCAGTAAAAAGACAAAGGAAACCCTTTCCAGGCCTTTGTGAGGAACTCATTGGAGCCAGTTCTGACTAGTGTTGGCAGCTCCAGTTGGGAAATTCCTGGATATTTTGTGTCTAAGAAAGCCAGAGTTTGGGGAGGGGAGAGGCCTCAGCTGAACAGAATGCCAAAGCAGTTATTTTTTCCAGGATGGGAAGAGATCTGTTGTCTGGAGTTCAGTTGTGATACCCGGTGATCTTCAGGCTCCACCTGGAGGTTGGCTACCCTAAGCATAGCAGTTAGCACCTCAGAGCAGGGTCTGCCAGACCCAGGTTCTTGCTGTGGAAGCTGTGATTTCTGACCAGTCACAGACTTTCAGCGTAATCCCTTCCCCCGCCCACTGCCAGCATGGCCACTTTCCTGTCAGAATAAACTCTGAAAATTTCTAGGCAACCAAGCTTGGTTCTGTTAGTAAAACAAGGTTGTTGTGCAAGTCAAAAGGGGGAGAGGAGAATGATGTAAGCTGCTTTGATCCCTATTGCAGAGAAAACTTGTACTTTTCCTCCTGGGGAACCATTGTTGCCGATCTCCAGGTGAGGGCTGGAGATCACTCAGAATTACAACTGTTCTCCAGATGGCAGTGATCAGTTCCCCTGGAGAAAATGGTGGACTCTGTGTCCTTATACCTGCTGAGATGGCCCCCCTATGGCAGCCAATGTGATGTCTCAGTCAGGGCTTCAGAGCATGGTAGAGGCTGCAGTTGGGGGGAGACAGAAAGCTGAAGAGTGAGGGCCAGATTACAGCAGGTTGATGCTTGACTGCAAAGAAGATAGGGTTGCCAACTCCAGGTTGGGAAATTCCTGGAGACTTGAGGGGTGGAGCCTGGAGAGGGTGGGGTTTGAGGAGGGGTGGAACCTCAAACACGTACAATGCCATAGACTCCGCCCTCAAAAGCAGCCATTTCCTCTTGGGGAACCATTGTTGCCAATCTCCAGGGGAGGGCTGGTGATCACTCAGAATTACAACTGTTCTCTAGGAAAGAGGGGGGAGGAGATGGAAAGCTGAAGTCAGAGGGGCAGATAAAAGGTAGGTTGATGGTTGGCTGGGAGGGTAATAGGGTTGCCAATTCCACATTGGGAAATGTCTGGAGATTTGAGGGGTAGAGCCTGGAGAGGGTGAGGTTAGAGGAGGGGTGGGACCTCAGGCAAGTACAATGCCATAGACTCCACCCTCCAAACCGCTCGCGGGGAGGGCGGGGTAAAAATACTTAAAAATAAAATAAATAAATAAATAAATTTCCTCCTGGGGAACCATTGTTGCCAATGTCCAGGTGAGGGGTGGCGATCACTCAAAATTACAACTGCTCTTCAGGTAGCAGAGATCAGTTCCTCTGGAGAAAATGGTGGACTCTGTGTCATTATACCCTGCTGATGTCAGCACAGCAAATTGACGCTGAGTGCCCAAGGCCAGAGCACTCTCCCAGATCCTCTTTCTAGAGCGCATTGTATTTATTTCCACAATACCTTATTTCTAGTAGAATAATACATGGTGTGATAAGAGGTTGTCTTGCTCCCTACAAGCAGCTTAAATAGAATTTTTATGGACAAATAAATTCTGTTTGATATAACCATGCTAACAGGTGTCCCAGGAAAAAACAGAGAGCTTAGCTACGACATGATGTTTTATTGGATTATTTGAAGTATATGCACTTACTATTAGTGACATCTGCTTTCATGCATTATTTTCATGCATTATTTTATGTAAGCCCCCCTGAGCCTGCCTTGGCGGGGAGGGCAGCGTATAAATTGAATAAATAAATAAATAATACATCTGCTTTCATGCATTATATGCCAGCCAGTAATGGAAACATACTATCTATTATGTGATAATAACAGATTCTGTTTCTCTTTGTAGCCTGGTAGATTGTTTCCTGTTAGATTCAGCAGCAGTAAGCATTACTATGTCTCCTACTGGAGATTTTCTAGCTTCTTCCCATGTGGATGACCTTGGAATTTACCTGTGGTAAGTCCATATGATGAAATGATTTCATCAAATAGTTTTATATGTTTATATGCTAAATATTTCTTTCAGTTTTTAATGTAGATGTTTAGAGTGGATAGTGTTTCTTGACGTTGTAAGAGAATTCATTGGTTAGAAGAGAATGGAAATTGATTAAATGGGTAGCACAGCTACCTGGTAGGGTAACCCCTTTTAGAATCTTGGGGAAGGAGGGACAGTTAAGAGATTGACAGTTGAGAAATGTCAGTTGGGGAAATTACTTCTCTTTGGAAGTAGTGGCTATGGCTCAAAAGAATAGAGCCATGAAGCCTAGGGAATTAGACTATGGACATTTTTCCTGTTAAGAGGTCATTCTGAACAAATATTACGTAGGTAGTAGTAGAATGAGATGCTGCTGGCCTATTTCATCACAGTCCACCAAATGTTTTCTGGACCAATTTGTGGGAAGAACTGTGTGCCAAGAGCAGGTTTGAGCTCATTGCCGAGTCACTGTTCGTTTTAACAGTACTTAGCCAAGATGGCTGTAGTTGCCACTGACAACAGCAAGGTAGGAGGCCAGTTCCATGAAGCCTCCCCCTCTTGGGATTGTAACTGTGATCAGCTCCTGTGTGGGCAGAGCAGCCCTTGACTCATTCCATCCTGCCCACCTGCCTGTTGTCATGCATGTTGCTCCTAGATAGGTCTGAGAGTGGGTGCTTCTGGGGATGGCCTGCTCTTTGCTGCGCTGACATAGCTGAGGCTGTGCACATCCTGTGCCCTATTTGCTCTTGGGCATGGGTGCCAGCCGGTATAGGGTAAAAAGGTCTGTTTTTTATACACAGCCTGCCATTGCTGAGACTGACAACAACTTTGTGCAGACTTATTTGTAAGCTACCTAGAAGAATCTAACTCATAAGAACTCAGAGTATATAAATCTGAAAAAGAAATGTCAGCTTTTAATGCACAATTATGATGATTTCCCATTGTTGTGTTCTTCCATGCAAAGTTTCATAGGGCATATTTCCAAAAGGCACACATTGTGTTCTTGGGAAAATTGATCTGTGAAGTCATATTTTTCTACTGAATCTACTGGGCCAGTTCTCCAAGTACAACTAAATTCTGAAATCAAGGACTTGGAAACGAGTTTTGTTTGTTTTCCTTGAACTTTCTACCATAGAATTCTGGGATCCAAAATGTTACTTCAAGTGAGTCCAGTAGAGTTCTGATTTAATAGCCACATGCCATGTCAAACTACTTATGAAATGCCCCTGATCTTCAAAAGCATTTTGGCATTTGGGGATGGAGGGTGTGGTTGCTATCCAGAAAAAATGTCCAAGGCCCAAGAGAGGGAGCATGGGATTAGTTGGCATGTTTCTTTGGTTTCCAGTCCAAAGGAATGGAGACTTAGCTGACATTTTATTTGTGAAACCTCAATTCTGAAATTGTATCTACAGGGAGAAGGACCACAGGACATAGAGTGTTGTCGTCCCCCCCCCAAAAAAAATTGGGTAATCTTTTTGTCTCTCCCCAGGTCTAACCGCTCCTTGTATTCGCTTGTCTCTTTGCGTCCACTTCCAACTGATTATGAGCCTTCAGTAGTAATGCTGCCTGGAACCAGTCCAGCTGAAGGTATTTATGTGTGTTGCTGGATTTTGCCATATTTTGTTCGGGACAGTCACAGCAAGAGAGAACTTGTTTTTTAAAAATAATCTGCTGTTTCTCTGTTCATATTAATGATTAGGCTCCTACACCAGCCAATATAAAGGAAGAGGTTATGTTAACTCTTTTATCAGTGCAGCGATGGGCCATAGTTTTCACTGTTTTTCATGTAACTTACTTAAGGGACTTTGAAATAGATCTATCAAAAAACATCAGGTAGTTTTAGGGGATGAGTTTATAACTAAAGTAGGCAAATTTGCTGCTGAATTGTCTCCCTCTAGATTATGAGGTGCTGTTTGGATCCATGGGCTCTTCTTGGACACTGAACGTTTTGATCTAAGTCAGTCCAATCGGGTTGTTATTGCAGATTGTTCTGAGGTAGGGAGAGTCGGAAAGGAGTTTATTAGATCTTCTTCAATAGAATTCTCCAAGTGGGAGCAGGCATTGTCTATTGGAGATTCACAGGCAGTATCTAAAGATCTTCAATCTGGTGTTGTACAAATGCAGAGGTCTTCGTAGATGAAGGTTTTATAGGCAACTCCTTCAACTTTTCTGGCATTTTAGCATGCTGTAAATTTGGGAGCAGAGGGGTTATGTTAGAGTTGGCAAAAACTCTAACTGGAAAAATCCCTTTGGAGTTCAAGAAGAATCTTTGTCGGAAAAGTAATGCTGGAACTTGTAGGCTATTAAAAGTGAGTAATATCCTCTGTGTTTGGCTTGATCTATTTAGCATTTCCACCATAGAAAGATCTATTAGGGCTTTGTATTTTGGAAAAAGAGTTCTGAAATATATAATAGCCTGCCTTTTGGAGCTCCAAATGATGGACTGGCCTTTGTATCGGCAGATGGATAGACAAACCTTTCTTGGCTGTGGGTCATTTTAAATGACTCCTTCCTTAGGCTAGGTTTCAGACCAGCTCCTAGCTTATCTCCTGTTGACGTCAGACTGCTGCCAATCCGGGCTGCATTAGATTCCTTAGCTATTGGGCTGATCAGTCCACATATGTTTGACACTGTCCTTGTGAGTTGTTCAACATTGGAGCTATTTCGGTGCAAAGATACAAATATAAGCTCCACTGTCTTAGCAGTCAGCATTGAAAGCTCTTTCAGAGGATTGTCAGCTTCCTCATTTTTCTTCTCTGTTTGTAAGATGATCTCTTCTTCCATAATATCACCTTTTTGATTTTCCTCAAGGACAAATGTGTCGGCTAGGACTGCATTAGCAATAGGAATATTAAATGCCTCCGTCTCTTTTGTTGAGAAGTAATTTTCAGTTCTTTTTTGCTTACGTGCTGGAGTTGTAACTGTGTCCTCTGGTTCCTGTAGACGCTTGCATGTCCTCATTGCTATATTAGACTGCCAAGCAGCCTTTTGGTAGTATTCAGTAATTGTTTTAGCAGAGATCTAACTTGGTAATTTGCAGGTATCTTCTATTAGCAAAATGTGTTGCACTAAAACTTTAAAAATCAAATATTATTTTAAAGAATTAATTATTAGGTCTATGACATAGTTTAGCTTGCAACAGCTTTTGACAACTTTAGTGTCCCAGCCTTTACATTCCTCAGCATCTTTAACTCCAGGCACTTCCTCCCATAAGGGAATTAAGATACGATTTCAAAGCTGGTATTAGCTGCAGCTTTTTGAAGGCAAATGTTAGAAAATATATAATTGCTTGTAAACCTGAACAGGAAAATAGTTGAGTTGGATAGAAAGGATAAATAAATGAGAATTGACTTGCAGAGAGCTTATCTCAATGTTGCCCAGTTAATGCGTAGAGCATAGGTCTATCAATAGCTGTTAGCCATGATGGCTAAATAAAGCCTCCAATGTTCAGAGGTACTATGCCATTGAATACCACTTGATGGAGAGCAGCAGTGTGGGATTGCTGTTGCCTTCTCCTTAAAGGCTTTTGTGAGGAACAACAGGATGTTAAACTAGATGAATCTTTTGGTCTAATTTAGCAGAGAGCCAGTGTGGTTGATTTAGTAGAGAGCCAGTGTTGTGTAGTGGTTAAAAGTGGTGGGCTCTAATCTGGGGAACCGGTTGATTCTCCACTCCTCCACGTGCAGCCAGCTGGAAGACCTTGGGTCAGTCATAGTTCTCTCAGAGCTGTTCTCTCAAGAGGAGTTCTGTCAGAGCTCTCTCAGCCCCACCTACCTCACAGGGTGCCTGTTGTGGGGAGAGGAAGGGAAAGGAGATTGTAAATTGCTCCTTTGGATAATTAAGGGTGGAGTATAAAATCAACTCCTCTTCGTCGTCGTCTTCATCTTTGTCGTCATCGTCATCATCTTTATCTTCTTCTTTGTCTTCGTCATCATCATCATCTTCTCCTCTTATGTTATTTGCCAACAGTCAGTCATCAAGGTCAGCTTCTCATGGAACACTGTGCTAGCAGTCCGTTGTCGGGAAATGGCATGATGGCTGCCAAGTGCTGTATCATAGGGGAAGAGGCATCCTTCTTCACTTGCTGAAATTGGTGGAATGCACTTTTCACCTCTGCCACAGTTTACACTTCCAGGAACAGCTGTAGGTCTAGGAGCATACCAAGACTTAGAATTCTGAAGAACCAACTCACCTTGCTTTTCCAAGTCAGAGTCAAGGGCCTTGCTAATTGATGTTGCTCAGTCTCACCTACGTTGATACAAATTGGGTCTTTCAAATTGTTTTTGTTCGGGAAGAAATGTAGATGTTGTGACACACTCCCATCTAATAAAGAGTCTACACAGAACATCTTGCAGTAGTATCAGTGACTAAGACTTAGAGCTGTCATTGTTTGCATATCCTGATGATGTGCTGCTGAAAGTACAATTTATACAATTATTAGAAATGATGCGTAACGAAATTGGAAGCAATCCAGATTTCATGTTGTCACAAGAGTGCACAGGCTTCTCTAGAAGCATAACCTAGATTCACAGCTATACCTTCTGAGAGCCTTTTCTTTAAAAAAAAAATCTTTCGGCACACCAATATTGATTTTTGTTGTTGTTCAGTCGCACAGTCGAGTCCGACTCTTCGCGACCCCATGGACTAGATCACGCCAGGCCTTCCGGTCTTCCGCCGTCCTCTGACGTTTGCTCAACCTCATGTTCGTTGCATCTATGACACTGTCTAACCATCTCATCCTTTGCCGTCCCCGTCTTCTTTGACCTTCAATCTTTCCCAGCATCAGGGTCTTCTCCAGTGAGTGGTCCCTTCTCATTTGGTGGCCAAAGTATTTGAGCTTCAGTTTCATTATCTGGCTTTCCAGGGAACAGTCAGGGTTGATTTCTTTTAGGATTGACTGATTTGATCTCCTTGCAGTCCCGGGAAATCTCAAGAGTCTTCTCCAGCACCACAGTTCAAAAGAATCTATTCTTCAGCGCTCGGCCTTCCTTATAGTCCAACTCTCGCAGCCATAAATGACTACTGGGAATACATTGCTTTGACCATGCGGACTTTTGTTGGCAGGGTGATATCTCTACTTTTTATCATGCTGTTTAGGTTCGCCATCGCTTTCCTCCCAAGGAGCAGGCATCTTTTAATTTCATGGCTGCTGTCACAGTCTGCGGTGATCTGGGATCCCAGGAACGTGAAGTCTGTCACTACTTCCACGACTTCCCCTTCTATTTGCCAAGGAGTGATGGGGCCGGATGCCATGATCTTAGTTTTTTTGATGTTGAGCTTCAAGCCCACTTTTGCGCTCTCCTCTTTTACTCTGAGCAAGAGGCTCTTTAGATCCTTTTCACTTTCAGCCATTAGAGTGGTATCATCTGCATATCTGAGGTTGTTGATCTTTTCCCCAGCAATCTTAATTCCCGCTTGTGATTCATCCAGGCCAGCATTTCGCATGATGTACTCTGCATATATATTAAATAAGCAAGGTGACAGTATACATCCTTGTCGTACTCCTTTTCCTATGCTGAACCAATCAGTTGTTCCGTATCCGGTTCTAACTGTCGCTTCTTGGCCCTTATACAGGTTTCTCAAGAGACATGTGAGGTGGTCTGGTACTCCCATCTCTTTAAGGACCTGCCATAGTTTGTTGTGATCCACACAGTCAAAGGCTTTAGCATAGTCAATGAAGCAGAAGTAGATATTTTTCTGGTACTCTCTTGCTTTCTCCATAATCCAGCGAATGTTGGCAATATGATCTCTCGTTCCTCTACCTCTTCGAAACCCAGCTTGTACTTCTGGTAGTTCTCTATCCACGTACTGTTGAAGCCTAGCTTGTAGGATCTTGAGCATGACCTTGCTAGCGTGTGATATGAGTGCAATTGTGCGATAGTTTGAACATTCCTTGGCATTGCCCTTCTTTGGGATTGGAATGTATACTGATCTTTTCCAATCCTGTGGCCACTGTTGCGTTTTCCAAATTTGCTGGCAAATGGAGTGCAGAACTTTAACAGCATCCTCTTCTAAGACTTTGAATAGCTCAGCTGGGATACCATCACCTCCACTAGCTTTGTTGTTAGTAATGCTTTCTAAGGCCCATTTAACTTCACATTCCAGGATGTCTGGCTCGAGGTCAGTGATTATACCGTCGTGGTTGTCAAGGACATCGAGGTCTTTCTTGTATAGTTCTTCTGTGTATTCTTGCCATCTTTTCCTAATCTCTTCTGCTTCTGTTAGGTCCCTACCGTTTTTGTCCTTTATCATGGCCAGCTTTGCATGGAACGCTCCCTTGATTTCTCCAATTTTCTTGAAGAGATCTCTAGTCCTTCCCATTCTATTGTTTTCTTCTATTACTTTGCACTGTTCATTCAGGAAGGCCTCCTTATCTCTCCTTGCTGTTCTCTGGAAATCTGCGTTCAGTTGGGTAAATCTTTCCTTTTCGCCTTTGCCTTTCGCTTTCCTTCTTTCCTCTGCTATTTGTAAAGCCTCATCAGAAAGCCATTTTGCTTTCTTGCATTTCTTTTTCTTTGGTATGGTGGTGATTGCTGCCTCCTGTACGATGTCACGAACCTCTGTCCATAGTTCTTCAGGCACTCTATCTATCAAATCCAGACCCTTGAATCTATTCTTCACCTCTACTGTATATTCATCAGGGATGTGATCTAGGTCAAACCTGAATGGCCTCATGGTTTTCCCGATTTTCTTCAGTTTAAGTCTGAATTTTGCAATGAGTAGCTCATGATCTGAACCACAGTCAGCTCCAGGTCTTGTTTTTACTGACTGGATAGAGCTTCTCCATCTTTGACTGCAAATTATATAGTCAATCTGATTTCGGTGTTGCCCATCTGGTGATGTCCATGTGTAGAGTCGTCTCTTAGGTTGTTGGAAAAGGGTGTTCGCTATGACCAGTGTGTTCTCTTGACAAAACTCTGTTAACCTTTGCCCTGCTTCATTTTGCTTTCCAAGGCCAAACTTGTCTGTTATTCCGGTTACCTTTTGACTTCCTACTTTAGCATTCCAGTCCCCTATGATGATGAGGACATCATTTTTTGGTGTTAGTTCTAGGAGGTGTTGTAGGTCTTCATAGAACCGGTCCACTTCAGCCTCTTCTGCATCAGTGGTTGGGGCATAGACTTGGATTACTGTGATGTTGAATGGTTTGCCTTGGAATCGGACCGAAATCATTCTGTCATTTTTGAGATTGTATCCCAGTACTGCCTTTTGCACTCTCTTGTTGACTATAAAGGCCACACCATTTTTTCTACGAGATTCCTGGCCACAGTAGTAGATATAATGGTCTTCTGAGTTAAATTCGCCCATTCCTGTCCACTTTAGTTCACTGATTCCTAGGATATCGATGTTCAGTCTTGCCATCTCATTTTTGACCACGTCAAGCTTACCTTGATTCATAGATCTTACATTCCAGGTTCCTATGCAGTATTGTTCTTTGCAGCATCGGACTTTCCTTTCACCATCAGACACATCCACAACTGAGCGTCCTTTCGGCTTTGGCCCAGCCGCTTCACTCTTTCTGGGGTTACTTGTACTTGCCCTCTGCTCTTCCCCAGTAGCATATTGGACACCTTCCGACCTGAGGGGCTCATCTTCCGGCGTCATATCTTTTAGCCTTTTGATAGAGTCCATGGGGTTTTCTTGGCAAAAATACTGGAGTGGGTTGCCATTTCCTTCTCCAGGGGATCACGCTTGGTCTGAGTTCTCTGCTGTGGCCTGTCCATCTTGGGTGGCCCTTCACAGCATAACCCACAGCCTCATCGAACCACGCAAGCCCCCTCGCCACGCCAAGGCAGTGATCCATGAGGGGACATAAAATGCTAGTAGTTACAAAATCTGAAGAGCTATTGTTTTAGAAGTGCTATTTTAAAAGTTTTAAATTTTGATTTATTTAAAGAAATCTTGTTCATTGTAAGTGACCAGTCCAGGGGTTGCTCTCTGTTGGCTAGATCAAATTTTACTGGAAAGGAGTGGAGAGATGTTTCACCCAAAATATCCTGGCACATGCACACATACAACATCAGTTTTGCCTTCTTATATAGAGAAGCAGTCACTAGAGGAAGTATAGGACTTCCTCCTTCTGGATAAGCTCTTCCTCTGGCTGGATAAGCAGCTGGTGGCAGCAGGGCTCTCAGCATTATCCCAGTGCCTGGATATGGTAGTCCAGTGGTTAAGGGTGAGATGGCTGAAGTTGAATCCATCCAAGACAAAGGTCATGTGGCTGGGAAAAACTGGAATGCTAGCTGGAGGGTCACTCCCGAGTCTTGATGGTGTCCAGTTAACGGCTGTAGACTCTGTAAAGAGCCTCAGGGTGTGGTTGGATTCTGTACTATCATTGGATAAACAGGTTTCCATGGTAGCACGGTCACTGTTTTTTCACCTATGCCCGGTCCGCCAGCTGGCTCCTTATTTGTCTGAGTCAGACCTTGCCACATTGATCCATGCAATTGTCACCTCCAGTATGCACTAGAGGTTCACTCCACATAGGGCTGCCTGTGCAAACGCTTTGGAAACTGCAGGTGGTCCAGAATGCAGCTGCCAGGTTGTTGACTGGAACACCACTGTCAGCTGATATTACTCTAATTCTGCGGCAGCTGCACTGACTACCAATTAGTTGCCGGATCCAATTCAAGGTGTTGGTGTTAACCTTTAAAGTCCTTAATGGTCTGGGACCCTCATACCAATGGGATCGCCTCTCCCGTTACAAACCCCTGTGCTCTCTTCGATCATCATCCAAGGGCCTCTTGCATGTGCCTGGTCCCAGGATGGCTTGGTTAGCTGTCAGCAGGGGAAGAAGTTGTGAAGAAGAAGAAGAGTTGGATTAATACTCCACCCTTCACTCAGAGTGGCTTACAGTCTCCTTCACTTCCTCTCCCTGCAACAGACACCCTGTGAGGTAGGTGGGGCTGAGAGAGCTCTGCCTGAGAACTGCTCATGAGAGAACTGTGACTGACCCAAGGTCACCCAGCTGGCTGCATGTGGAGGAGTGGGGAATCAAACCTGGTTCTCCAGATTCGAGTCCGCCACTCTTAACCACTACACCAAACTGTCTCTACCCTCTGGCCCCTATCCTGTAGAATGCACTCTTGGATGACATCCGAGCCCTGCCAGGCTTGCTTAGTCTCTGCAGGGCATGAAAAGCTGGAGTGTAACCACACGTTTGGTTTGTTTTAATAGTAGTATGATGATAGCCACATTTTTTTATATTTTAATTTTAATGTTTTATATTGGTTTTTATGTTGTTTTTTACCTTACGGACCTTAATGTTGTAAGTTACCACAAGACCCTTCAGGTGAGTGGTGACTAAAAAAAAATTAATAAATTTGGAGGGCACCGTTCATTATTCCACAATCATAATTTAAATTAAAAAGAAGCACTTGGGCATTAGTAGGTCCCCCTTTCCCTCCATTGCCAAGAAGAAGAGGCTCAATGAGAGGAAAAACTGAGGGATAGCCAGGTATGTAGTCTGCTTAAATAGGAAACTCTTGGCCAAGGCTGATTGGTCACTTGTAAGCCTCAGGTATGGAAATACCAGTGTGTATTTCTGTCTGCTGCAGTATGGACTGAAATGAACATTCTCAGTCATTGTCTCCAGCTGCAGGCATGTTCTTCACAGTGTGTCTTGACTGAGGCTATTTTACCCTCTGCACATCATTATATCTGAAATGTAGCTGTAGAGAAATAATTACCTAAATGTTCTTGACGATTCCCTGGTCACTCAAGCTTTACTATCCTTGGAATATATCTTTCCCAGTATTGGCTGATTTTCCCCCCTACCTGTTACAATTCAAAGATGCAGATGTCACAGAAGAGGAAGAAACAAGTGATGAGATGATAGAATATGATTCTCCAGAGCAGCTGGGAGACACACTAGTGACCCTTTCTACATTGTCAGAATCTAGATGGAAGAACCTACTTAATCTTGATGTTATTAAGGTAACATGACTACACCATACATTCAAAGACGTCTGATCAGGACCTGGTCTTGTTATTTGTATATTGTTGGGTTGTTTTCTAGCATAAATGGCAAAAAGTAAACAAAACCTGTTTCCTGAAGAACTGCACTTTGAAGCAGGGACCTCCTTATGGCAAAATGGCAAATAGTAAACAAAACCTGTTTCCTGAAGAACTGCATTTTGAAGCAGGGACCTCCTTAGAGTTTTTTGTAACAATTGGACGTTTAAGGAACCTCCTTTTTATCCTCTTCTTTCTGGATTTTTATTTGAATCTTCACAACTGGAGACCTGCAACAAACTATTGCAGTGTGTCTCCATTGTTGTAATGTAGCAACTTTTCTGGTTTGAGCCTAAACCTGTGGGGCATGCTGTTTACCCTGTAGCTGTGGTGGCTATAGTTTTGTTGTTCCCAGTGGAACTAGCAAGCATTAGAGCAGTCATGCTCTCTCACTGGCTGCCTTGATTTCTTCTAACGGCCAGATAGTGAGTGATAAAAAGTCAGTTATTAAAACTGTTAAAAACCCTGATTCTTCCTAGCCTTCTTGGCTCCTCTGGCTTTCATAATTGATTCACCCACAAATTTGGACTCCTATGACAGACAGTACTGGGTGGAAGCTGCATGCCTCATCTGAGCAGGAGGAGGGTGAGGTTCTTAGTTTGTGGCTCCATAGAGAAGAGGCAAGAGCTAGCCTAATGTACAGTGATGGCTGGTTTAATGGAGGTCAAAGGGGTTGGTGTGCTCATGGCCCCTTGTGTGTTTGCACCTGCAGCAATACAGTGTACTTGGCAGCATTCTTTTTTGTGTTTTATTTGTTACCTAAAATACTTCTCTATATACCTGTAGGGTTCCCCAAGTTATACAGAAATCCTCCTTGTTTTAATGGGTGACCCCTCCCCCTTCCTATTACAGCAATTGGGCAGGGCCACAAAGTTTACCATTAGAGGAGATGATAGCAGTGGCTTACAGTAACCTCTGGATTTCCTTTGGGGTTCTCAGGAAAAAGAACTTCTTAAAAATCCTTCAATACTATTTCTTAATGTTAAACAGTTCATCTATGTTTCATATTCAGGTAGGGTGTGTTATATTAGACTTTTAGCTGCTGTCATAGTTGGAAAATTAAGAAACTTTGTATTCTTAAAGTTACAATCCAAATAAGAAAACTTGATGGTGTAAAATCTCTCATTTACAGAAAAAGAATAAACCGAAAGAACCACCGAAAGTGCCAAAATCTGCACCATTCTTCATTCCCACTGTTCCTGGTCTCATACCGCGATATGCTTCTGTTGAACATGAAAATGACAGAGAGCAGGTAAAAAGGGACCTGTTTGTAATAAGTATCTTCACAACACGGAACTTCACTATATATCTCTCTCAGCCGTTTCAGTACTCTTAAAAGTATGTCTGATGAAATATATTATGCCCCCTTTTTTCCTCTGTAAGGTTTAATACCTAGATCATTGCCTGGTTTAGGACTCTCCTTCATTTTACAGAAGTTTCTTTCAGTTTTGGTCTCCATTACAACATATTTGAAAACTCTTCACAGCACCGTTAGTGGGTATTAAAGTGATATTATAGATAACTATCTCGTATCCAACCTAATACTTCATACCCGTTGTCACATTCTCTGTAGACTATGTATCTGTCCATTTTGTCGTTGTACATATACTTACAAATACACAGAACACACTGCAGAGCCTAATATAAACAGATATTTGGAACTGCCAGTCCACAGAAAGACGGGGCTCAAATAAATCCTTGTTTTGATTTCTTCCATTTGTTTTTGTTAATGGTGTGTATTTCTGCACACATGTACATCTAGCCTGAAAATAGTAAATAAATCTGGGGAAGGGTAATAATAAATGGATGTGATTCCTTCAAACTGTGACAGCTGCCGCCTTCCATTTTTAATACAATTGTTAATTGAAGGATCTCTAATTCATTGAAACCAATTCTTAAAAATGTGAACTATTTTATATTATTCATAAATTCCATCTAAATATATACTTCCTCAGAAAAAAATATTGATATGTAACGTTTTTTTCACACATTTCAAGTGGCAACTATTTTTTCTATATTCCAGTCAAAACTAGTGAAACTTGGAGTGTTGGCACAAAAATCGGAATTCCATGTGCAGCTTGAAGAAGCCTTGAGCAAGAGCAACTGTAAGTTATATGAAACAGCAAAGGAAAGAGGTGAATTCTGACATTTTGGTATAAAGAACTGGCTGGAAAAGAGTTGTGTACTTTCATCCTGAAGACTTACATTAGAAATGGATGCCTTAAAAAACCAACTGACTTTCGAAGTAAAGCTTGAGATGAAGGATAAATTTTTCCTCATCTGTGAGGAATGCCATTTCTGTAATATACAGCTGTATGCAGAGTCCTTGCGTTCAACTAGAAATATCACCCTCATAATCATGTTGTCTTTGTGGCTGACCCTACTGATAGGTTAAAATTTACTTAGACCCACAGAATGAACAGCCAGACAACTGAAAATGCCTTTTAGTAGACTAGCCCCCTATTGCCAATAGATTTGTTGTCAGACTTTGAAAAAGGAAATCTTGTTGTACAGGTGGATACTATTTTATTTATTCAAAACATTTTGTACTACACACACCCAGCGCAATGCTCTTGAGAGTCAATACAATATTATGATATTATGGTATGTATATCAGATTAGGTCAGGGAGACCTGGGTTCAAATCCCTATGCAGTTACGAAGTTATGGGTGACTTTGGATTGGTGTATCTCACTTAGTCTTGCCTAGCTCATACAGTTGTTATGAAGCTAAAACAGAGAGGGGATTATCATATATGCTATCGTTAACTCCTTAGAAGAAGAGTAGGATACAAATGTTATAGAGATGTCCATACAGAATCAAACAGTAAAAATCATTGTGAATATTATAAAACAAGGTAAGATCCACCATATTAAAACCAGCAGCTCAACCCTGTCATGAGCCAGGAGAAAAGGTAGTTATAAAGCAATAATGGGTGATGTTATCAAACTAGGCAAAGGGTAAAACAGCCAAAAAGACTGGAGACAAACACATCCTCACCTGAGCTGATTGGTAAATACTAGAAAGTGATTCTGTATAATTTGTATTCTAGTAAGTTTCTAATTATATATATTAAGTCCTTTTCCTTGAGTCCAAAAAATATAAAACCATTTTGAATGAGACCGCAACAACTCTGTCTCCTGATGTAAAAATACCTCCACATTTGGCATTTTGCAGCTTTGAGAACCAAATCAGCAACTTTTTAAAACAGTGCCAAGTACAAAATTTTATTCTTATTTTATTTACATTATCTATAGTCAGACTTTCTCACTTGGACTCAAGGTGGATTACAGAGTGAGTCAATATAATCCACACAGTGGGGCATTCAATAGTGCAATAGGATTTGGGTTGTAGAACCAGCCAGAAGTCTAAAAATATGACTGACGAAAAGCAAAAGTATTAACACAAGACGTTAAATGATGCAAAAATTAAATATTAAGATCCTACATATCCTATATGCAGTAGTAAAGACCATAGTCCCTAGTAATTTAGTCAAGTAACTTTGTGAATCATTTTGTACAGTGCAGCCCTGCTGCCTACCTAGAAAAGCCCTCTTGAATAATCCAGTTTTGCATAGTTTGCAGGAAGCCAGAAGAGTGGGAGGCCATTCCGTAAGGTGGGGGCAGTTGTTATTTTGCCCGTTTGCAGGCTGGCACCTGCAGAAGGCCCTACTCAGAACAGGAAGGTGGTTGTGGTGGAGAATAGGGGGAGAGGTGGTTTCGTAGATATTCGGGTCGAAGGCCATAATGGCGCTTTGTACGTGATAGCCAATACCTTAAATTGAGCCTGGTAACTGATGGGCAGCCAGTGGAGTGACTTTTTGTGGTGAAAACCAGGAGAGAAAAAATCCAGCCAGCATTCATATACTTGAGAACAGCTGTAACTCCTGCAAAGCTAGGTGCCTTAATGCGCTTTGAATGGAACAATCCTTTATTTGTTTAGTTTTTGTATTTTGTGTGTGTGTGCACGTGCGCCTGGAACTCATGGCAACCTCTGGTGACTGACCCCTACTGGGAGCCTGGAGGATATTCAGAGAGGTGGCTGGGTAAAGCCTGCTCCTGGCTCTGGTATTTCAAGGAGGTCTCCCATCCAAGTACTTTGGCAACCCTGTTTAGCTTCCGAGATTGGGCTTGCCTGGGCTATCGAGGTCAGGGCAAATGGCGCAATCATACATATAAACAATAAAACAAGCTGTATCCTAAAATCTTAGAGTAAAGCATGCAAGAACTATCTCAGCAATATTGGATCAATATTAAAATTAGTGCCAAGGAATGTGATTTAACAGAGAAGAGTCAGTTTTATGAAATGTGTTCTGAGACCTCCCATTCTCTGTAGCATTCTGGTACAGTACCTACGGAGGGACCCCACCAAGGGGAACAACAAAGTTTTGTCGAGCCCTATGAGCATCCCTATGTGTATGGATGTTGTATCCTCACACTGGAAAAGATGGGGCTCTGTAGAACATAAGCACAGAACCTGTGGTCCCAAGAAGAAAGTAAGAGAACCCATAGGTGCAGCTGGAGCATTTTTTAAGTATTCCGTTTACTGCCTCAATTTCCAGAGATTTTGGGGAGCAAGAACACCTGCTGATGCTGTACCCTTACTTTCACCTAATGGCTGCTTTAGACAGTGTGCAGATGCTTCAGTCTCATTTGAGTGCTGCCGGTAGGGCAGCTGTTCAGTACACTCTGACATTTAATGCTTTGATATTTGTTGAGCTCTAACTGTATTATTAATGCTCTGACAGATGAGTCCCCACTCGGTATTCTGAAGGACATGGGACCAGCTAATATTGAGATAGAACTGAGAGGCTTGTCTCCTGATGATGGTGGTTCCGTAAAGGTGATGCAGAGCTTTCTAAGAATGATCGGAGCAATGCTGGACACAAGGTGTGACTTTGAGCTGGCTCAGGCATATCTGGCTTTGTTTCTAAAGGTAAATGTTCATTTTGACTGCAGTGATATTGCCAATGATAGACAGTGACACTCATTTGTCCAGAGCAGTCTCCACTTTGAATAACCAAGACAGATATTTGGGAGGTGGAGAGGGAGAAGTATTTCAGAGCATTGATTTTTCTCTAGGACCATTTCCGCAGTAGGAATTTACCCCTCAAAAGTGTCACTTTGGACTCCCATTCAGTGCCGCAGGTCTGCGCCAGTAGTTTTGCAGTAGGGCATTTTCCTCAGTGTTTCCCGTGGTTATGGCAAAGCTTCAACCCACCACATGATTTCTGCAGTAACCATGAATATTTTCTTCCCAGCATGCAGTGGTCACTTACGTTGCCCCCCCCCCTCTCTTTTTTTGTTCATGCATGCATGGTAGCATTGCAATGCAATCACCAGGCAGAAGCACTTTTTGATTGGCAGCTCATGTTCCCACGGGGGGCAATACACATGTCTATGTACAGATTTGTTAAAAAGAGAAATTATAAACTTCCATGTGGCTGCAGTAGCCACATGTGTCCAAATCAAACCAAATAAATCAAGTGCCTTTTTTTTAGAAGTACCTGTTTAAACAGCTGAACTGTGGGGGGCAGAAAAGACACTTCTATCTTGGTACATGGTTTAAAGAGGAAGTTTGAGAGGCATTAACCAAGGAAGCCCTTGTAGCACAGTGAAAACATCATGGTTTTACACCCTAAAGGTTGTGAGTTTGAATCCCAGAGGGGGCAGAATTTTTTTATGGGCATTCAATTTTTTTTTTTCTTAACAACAACATTAACTGGGAGAGGGAGGGGTATTTGGTAAATCCATTTTTCCACAAGGAGTGAATCGTCCATACATGCATATATATTTGTGTCCCCAAAACACTCAGGATTGCTTGGGGTAGGGGGAGAAGGAAAGCACCACAAAACACTAGGGGGCTTCTTTGCACTCCCTCCCCCACCTTAGTCTTTCACAAGAAAATGTTGCCTGGTGCCCCTCGGCGTCTAGTCATGCTGGCCACATGACCATGGAAATGTCTCTGGACAGTGCTGGCCCTTTGGCTTGGAAACGGAGATGAGCACCGCATCCCTAGAGTCAGCTTTCGAGCAACTGTTTTTAAATAAATGCCCAGTTTTTTTAAAGCCTGTTTTTTAACAAAAAATTCTGCTACATCTGGGGTTCAAATTCAGTACATTTTGGTTCGAAGACTGGGATGTTTCCACTGTGCTACAGAAGGATCCTCCTGAAGTCTCCTAAACCTTCCTCTTTAAACAAAGGAACCAGGATCGAAGTGTCTTTTCTACCTTCCCCCCCCCCCACCGCTCATTCCCCATGTTGTGGAACCTTTGTTGCAGGGGGGGGGGGACCAGCTGGCAAAACACTAGGAAATAACCCCTGCACCAGTCAGACCTGCCTGTCTTGACAGTTTAACAACACAATAACGTGACAGGTATAATGTTTTAAAAATAGGAAATTGCATCCGGAAAAGAAGGGTGGTCATATGAATGAGGAAATGGATGCGCAGCGGAGGGGGAAATTGCGGGCAGGGGGAGTTCCCCACCAGAAAGTGGTGCATTCGTACCTGAGGCAAAAAAAAGTTGCAAAAATTGGGGATTCACAAAACACAGGGAAAGAAGGGGGAAAGCTTGGGTCTGCACCTAGTAAGGGAAATTCCACTGCAGAGAATTTGAAATACCATGCGGATATAAAGGCATCAACAAAGGCCTCAACAAGGGGGTTTTCACTACTGTGGAAACTGTCTAGTAGTGATCCTCCCCCCCCCCAAAGCTGTCTTGTGCTACTGTTTGTTACTTCCGTTATCTATATAAGAGCAGAGCTTTGTCTCATGGTGCTACCTCTCAAGGGTTACAGAAAGGAGTTAATTTGGAAAGATATGATTATGTTTTAGTCTGCATTTGTGTAACTTTGACTTTATGTTAGAGGATATCCATTAATATTTAAAGTATAGCAATGATGGGGCAGTAGCACATTGACAAAGTGATCCTAAAATGTATTTCCTACGATGTCTCTAAATAATGAATGTTATGTTCCATTTCAGTTGCACCTTAAAATCCTTTCCTCAGAGCCAGCATTGCTGGCAGAATTATCCAGACTGTCACCCCAGCTTGAGCAACTGTGGATCCATTTACAGACTCTTTTCAACCAAAGCCTTTGCATTTTAAATTACTTGAAGACTGCCTTGTTATAAAGTGCCTTTTGTTCTTAAGAATCAAGATGTTATATCTTTAGCTCCTTGTATAAAGCTTGTATCGTGTAATAATGGATATTATACATCTCAAGTTTTCAAAGTGCAGGCTGAACTGATAACTTCGTTTTGCTCAAATGTGAATAGAAATGTGTATTTTCAAAAATGTATGTATTTAAATTACATCCTAGTTTATAATAAGATGATTCAATATCCAAAAATAAATCCAAACTTCTTTTTAAAGAGTTACTTGTGTGGGAGTCCGTTGGGAGCTTCATAAAGAAAAGGAAAATTCTTTAAAAATTGTGAGAGATAATGCATAAGTATAAGAACACTTTTGTTTATCAGATAGATCTGTGCAGAATTCACAGGAAAAATTGCAGTCCTGTGGTTCAACGTAAAACAGATGCCGATGAGCCTGAGCTGGCACTGAAGTAATTATTCTATGTCCTGTTTCCCAGCAGCAGATTAGAAGAAATCTGGTAGAAAAGAGGGATCACATGGCAACAACAGCCACTTCAACAGAGTATTCAGCAGCACATTTACCACCCCCTGCCCATGTCATTCCTGACTACAGGCATTACCCCCACAGTACCCATGTACAGGAGGCACCTATGAGGGTATTCCTGCCACTTTCTGTCATTATCTTAATTCTAACAAAGGCACAGCTAGCATGTTGAGGAGGCAGATGGAGCATCCAGCTAGCAAAAGTATTTTTGAGGAAAAAAAGATATAAGCACAACAGAGCCTATTCCTCACTTTCCACTGAGCGGCAACATAACCTCACAAGCTGTAGGAACAGACTGGTGAGGACTGTGAAGGGAGCCTTTGTTTCAAGAGGCATGTCTCCGGTACTATGTGTGGAATGATCCCAGTTGTATAGCTTGGCCTTAAAGGATCATTACATGGAGCTTCTGGATTCGAGTCTAGTTGCACCTTAGAGACCAACAAGAATTTCAGGGTATGAACTTTCAGGAGTCAAAACACCTTTCATTAGATGGAGCTTATATGGAGCTGAAGCTCAGTGAAAATGGTCCTGGCCAAGCACACAAATGGTTCCCGGTTCATTCCTGGGCCAGCACCTCCTAGGTATACCTACAGCAGTGAACAGTAGAAGGAATGGTGTCGGCCATCCCCCGGAACACCTGCCACACCTGTGCCTTGTTCAACTGCTTAATTACCTGTCTTTGCTACACATTGCCCTAGCAAACCATGTTATTCATCTCCTCCACTACACTTCTGACAGGCAAGCTACATTATTCAATTTATCAACAGTAATCCTGAGTACTGTGAGCTTGTGAGAGTTAGCCTTCTTACACTACTGAGTGCTGAGGTGACCATAGGCTGAAGCAGATGAGGGTACTGTCTCCTTGGTGGGGTATATTGGCAACAAAGCACCTAGCTTTTCATATTGAATATAACTGGTTAAATTGGTTATGGTGTCAGTTCAGTGTCCAGTGTTCAATTTACTAGGAGTGTCAAACCTCACAAGGGGAAGAGGCACAGCAGCTGTGTCAGTGGTTATGACTAGCATTTCTTTTTTAAAGAATAATTCAAAATCTTGTGAAATGGCTAGTTTGGGAAACAAGTTTTGTTTTTGGCTCTGATTTGCCAGTTCAAAATATAAATAACAAAAATGTTTGCAGCTTTTAAGAGTCACCTAGATTATTAGTGGAGGACAGGAGGGCCTGGAGGGAGCTGGTCCATGGGGTCGCGAAGAGTCGGACTCGACTGTGCGACTGAACAACAACAACAAAAGATTATCATGGTTGAGGCCCAAAGCATCACGAAAGCTCAAGAGTATCTAGTCGAGGTTGTGCTCTGAAGTCAGTAGGGCAGTTTGGGGAAAAAAATGTTTTATATATATTTCTGGAACAGTAAGCATCAACGTGGTAATAGAGCTAAATTAGTTTTATTTCTGTTTAAACACAACCACTTCTTGGAGAAGAGAATCCTGATTCAGGTTTCTGCGACAATAAGTTTTAGATTTGTCAGCAAAAATATGGGCAAAACACTTCCCCGTTTTTCTGCTTCCCATCTGCTGCTTCCCCCCATTCCTCACTTTTCCAATTTCATTTTCTTCTTCCTTTCATTTCTAGTTGAACAAGGGAGAAAGACTGCAGACACAACAGGTGAAGCAGTCCTCCTTTGTGGCGTTATCTCAGCACCGTAAGCTGCCGGTTACTCCGTTGCTCACCAGACAAAATTGGAAGCAGGTTTGGGATGCCTGTGGTTTTGGCATCCTGCTGAATTAATTGATGAATGCTAAAATTGAAAGTGCCCCAACCAAATACAGGACACGTTCTTTTATTTCTGATTTTCCTCCATTGCCAAGGCATTTGAAGGATTCATTCTACCTTTTCCTTCTGTTGAACACTACAGATGTTGCTGTGAATCCCAGATTCTATTCTTCTCCAATCTTTGAAGTGTTGGAGATTAAAGACTAAAGAAGAAAAGTTAATTCATTGAGAATACAGATGAAAATGTTAACTGTCCACCCCCACCACCAGCTGCAGTTGCACACCGAGCTGGAGGATTTGTCTCTCTTCTATAATTGTGTTACAGTTTCTAACTTTTATATACTGGTTCCTCTCCTTTGGCTCCCCCACTCCTACTCTGCTTATTCTGTAAGGAACTGTGCATTAACAGTACAGAAGTAGATATTTGCTGTGGATTTTTTAAAAAAAACCTCATCAACCAGACAAATTTTTATGAGTAGTCTTTAGGAGAAAGCTGCACATTAAATTGATATGGCAATTAAATTTCCATTATGCCCTAAAATGAAGGATGACAACTGTGCTCTCAGGCTTCAATGAGAGTGAGTAGTTTGGTGACAAGATCTGTATCTGGGCTTCAAAGGAAGCCCTTTGTGAATGTCATTATGGTACTGAATAGACAATTTGGAAAGGGGAGGAGTATTCCAAGCACTCCTCTCTGAAATGGATACTGATTTGTGAATCAACTGATAATTCATCTTCCCAAATATGACAGTAACTATCTTTGTTAAAATCGCAGGGTGATGTGCTGAATTTGAGGCTGTGTTAATAGGGTTTTTATCGAAGCAACCCTATGCTGTCTTAAGTCACTGTTACTTTTTTTTCCTTTTCTTTTTTGGTGGCTGGGTATGGGTGCATTCTTCAGTTCAACACTTGTGCACATGCAGAATCAACACTGGGTACAGAATCAAGCACACTTATGTTCTGCCTTTACTACAATGAGCTCAGGGTAGCATGTGGTTCTTCCCATCTCCTCTCAACAATCCATGTGAGGTTGATTAGACAGAGAGAGAGAGAAGGTTGAGAGAGAAGCCCTGTTGGCAGGTTACAATAAATGCACGAACCCTGGGCAGGTAACCTGTCAGTGCATTGACTAACCATGCAGGGAGGGCAAACGGTCACAAAGAAGAAGGAGAAGAGATTGGATTTATACCCCGCCCTTCACTTGGAGTCTCAGAGCAGCTTACAGACTCCTTTCCCCTCCCCGCAACAGACACCCTGTGAGGTGGGCGGGACTGAGAGAGCTCTGACACAAACTGCTCTTTCAGGAACAGCTGTGCCAGAGCTTGTGACTGACCCAAGGTCACATCGGCAGGTGCAAGTGGAGGAGTGGGGAATCAAACCCGGTTCTCCCAGATTACAGTCCACACACTCAACCACTACACCAAACTGGCTCTGGCCTGGCATCTGCACAATTGCTCAAGCCATCTGCACAGAACAACTGTTCAAAGGAAGTGTCTGCATGTATGCTCCTTCCCTGTGCTTAGCAACGCTGAGAAAGCAGTGTGGTTGATCGGAGGGAAGAAACATTTGCGTGAACACTGCCTCTGTGTGCTCACCCTGTGCAGACAACTGGGGCTTGGGGGTGTGGGGTGTCTGGCAACACCCTATTCCTACACTCTAGCCAGAGGTTTTGATCCAGAATAGTGTTTCCATGGAAAGGAGGATTTCATCCCCCAGAATATGGCCCTACTGCTGCAGCATTTTGGGGAGCATTTTGAGCTGCAGTTGGAGGGGGAAAGTGAGAAGGCCGTGCTCCACAGACAGAAATCCTTTTGCCCACAGAAACGCTGTACTGGATCCAAGCTGATATATTACAAAGACATTCTATCACATCTATGGCTTATGTGCTTTTTTTATTTAGAACTTTTTTGGGGATGAGTGGCAATATGTTGAGTGTGGTGTGCTGGTTAAGATTTTGGAGTAGAATGGGAAGACCTATTTCTAATTCCCCTTCTGCTCTGACGCTTACTGGATGACCATAGGGTAGTTGTACCTTTTAGCCTAGCCTGCCTTGCAGGGTGGTTGTGAGAATAAAATGTAGGAGGGGGACAGCTATGTTTGCTGCTGTAGGTTCGTTGGAAGAAGGCCAGGCTAAATGTGCAATACATGTCAGTCTCTGGAGTGAGGTTATGACTGTGAAATATTCTATGGCCACAAATGTCGCTTCTCCTAGAGTGAGCTACATAAATGTATGTAAAAATGTGCAAATGAAATTTGACTTAGTTTATTAGAACTGCAGTAGGAGAGTGCAATACTGAGTGCTATCTATTACTGTTTTGTTGGATATCAATGAAGTCTTCTCATGTAGATGTAATAGCACATTTCCAAAGTATTTAAAGTCCCTAATGGCTATCTGGACTCAAATGCAAAATTGACATTGCCAGTCTTGGTCTGAACAGAACTGAGAGTAGATATCTCAGTACAGAAAATATTAATTCCTCATTAGAAGCTCAGGTAGTCTTGCTTTGTCAATCACCACTTAGGAGTGGCCCACACCAACTGCATGGGGATTGTTTGCTTTTGATTGAATCTTGTTTTGCCTGGTCATTTTGTAATAATTTCCCCACCCCTACCTACCCAGTGTTCTCCTGTTTAAATTCATACCTATATATTTGCCAACTCAGATTAACATCTGATATTTGCTGGCAATGAACAGAAAACCATGACTACCCCTCTGGAATTATTTGGGTGCTTTTCTTGCCTGACCAGGAAGCTATGAAGAGGAATTGTAAGGTTCCGTGCAGTCTCAGAAATAGGCT